AAGAAGAAAACAATAAAAGTAGGGGTCAGTACAAACACGGGTATTGAGTAGATATCATCGACCAACTCAAAATAGGGAACAGTATATATCAAGTATTATCGTAAATCAACTATAAAACTCAACATGTAACAACAACAAGTACTATAATCATCAATAAGCACCATCAAGTTCATCCATGAGGGCTCAAGCCTCAACACCATACTCATTTGAGAATTAAGTTTATTAAGTTGAGTATATTATTATCTTTCAAGATTCATTATCTTTCCTCCTCTTGTGTCGGTACGTGACACTCCGATCCCCTACCACTATGTGTCGGTACGTGACACTCCGATCCCCTAATTCTATGTGTCGAAACGTGACACTCCGATCCCCTACATGTGTCGGAACGTGACACTCCGATCCCCTACATGTGTCGGTACGTGACACTCCGATCCCCTACATGTGTCGGAACGTGACACTCCGATCCCCTACATATGTTGGTACGTGACACTCCGATCCCCTACATGTGTCGGTACGTGACACTCCGATCCACTAATACTATGTGTCGGTACGTGACACTCCGATCCACTAAATATATGTGTCGGAACGTGACACTCCGATTCACTAAATCTATGTGTCGGAACGTGACACTCCGATCCACTAAATTCATTCTGTAAATCATCAAGCCTTCTCTATATCAAGGCATCCTCAATCCCATTACTTTAATTTATCAAGCCTTCTTCTATACCAAGGCATCATCAATCCCATTCCTTTAATTCATCAAGCCTTCTTCTATACCAAGGCATCATCATTAATAATGTATATTAAAGTTTCTTTTCAAGATTTGGGATTCAATATTTTCATCATGCTTATCTTATCACAATCATATAATCATATTCATGCAAACATACAATTAAGCATATAGTAGGGTTTACAATACTACCAGTACATATCATTCTCTATTAAGAGTTTACTATGAAAGCATGAAAACCATAACCTACCTCCACCGAAGATTAGAAATCAAGAAAGCAAGTTCCCGAAGCTTTGTTCTTCTTCTTGTTTCTCTCTCTCCCTTCTTGTTCTTTCTATTTTCTTATTCAAACCCTCTTTCTTTTACCCTAATTAGTATATAATTAAGAATAAAAGATGGCAATAATACCCCACTAATTAACTTAGGGTTACCTCTTTTAACCCTCAAGAATTTGAGTTATTAATATAAACCCACGAAGTCTATAATTAAGGAAAGAATAGCCCAAAAACGTCCCTTAAAACTTCACCAGAAATCCGACTCTGCCTGGGATTTGCGCAACTTGTGACGGGCCGTCATGCCTACGACGGTCCGTCCTGCAGCTCGTCGCAGAGTTCAGAGACCCAAATTTCCACCAAGGGTCTGTGACGGTCCGTCCTGCCATTCCGTCACAAAGTTCAGAGAGTTGATTTTCAGTACCCAATTTCAGATTGTCTAAGTGTTTTGAAACGTTGGATCACGATGGTCCGTCACACCTGTGACGGTCCGTCCTGCCATTCCGTCACAAAGTTCAGAGAGTTGATTTTCA